CGCAATTATTTATAAATAATAATGATGAATTGAAATTAAGCAAAAATAAAAGAAGACAATGGCGAAATCGCATTTCTTGCAATTAAGATTTCTTTACAAACAAAAGACCTTTTGTCTTACGGTTCGACAATCGGCAGAAACTATTATATTATAATAATTGTAATTAATTGACATTGGAAATAAGTCTACCGAAATTTTAGTATTAAAAAATATTTATACTGTATTTTTTAGATGATGCCCGATGTCATATACTACTAGTTTTTATTTTTATTAAATATAAAAAATAATAAATTGAAAAGTTTGTTTGAGGTCGGACAAAAACATAAAATCAAATATTCTGACCGCATTCCTTTAGATGCATCTTGAGAATTTTAACATTTTATAACTTTAAATTTATATGTATATATATATATATATATATATATATTAGTGTTGGTATATGTAAATTCATGCTTAGTGAAGCATAAAGTATGTAGATGCTTCAATAAAAAAAAATTGCTTGTAAGATGAGCTCTATTACAAAAGAAAAATTTTACAATTTACATATAAACCCATATACACATATATATATATATATATATATATATATATATATATACATACATATATGTTTAGATATAAAATTTATATGCAAATAGGAAAAGTCAAACGCAAAGTATTACAAAGTGGTTATTTGCTTTCTTTCACATAAAATATATTTTGCATATCATATATCAAATTTGCATACAAATTGGCGCAATTTGCAAATAAAATCAGTTTGAATTGGTCGAACCAACTACTATAGTGCTAAATTAACTATAATAATAGTAATAATTTTAATTGAAATTTTACTTTAAATATAACTTTAAATATAATTTTAACTTTTACTTTAAAAAAGTCATTGCCAGTACAAATAAATATAAAAGTTTAGTGACCATTCGAGTTCAAAATACAAATTACAAAACGCTTATTTATCATTTAAAATAAAATTGCTGATGTAGAAAAATGTACAAATGCATTTATGTAAACATTTTACGAGATTTTATGTGAGTTCTTCGAGACCTTCTGATCGATTCAGAAACTAAAATTTAAGGTAAAATAAAATCAAACTAATCTAATATTTTATAAAATTGTTTGTTAATATATAGTAACTATGTAAGTTAATAATATAAATAGTATATGAAAGTCTTGAAAAGTACAAATGACTTCTACTAACTGTTTTAGCAATAATTAACATTTTGAAGTTACGTAATAGCGAAAAATAACTGCACTTATGTTTTTTATAGTTTCATTGTTTATAAAATGTAAATTGTTACGAAGAAACGCTGCCAGAACTGTTAATATTTCGCAATTTTACAAATGCCCACAAATTCTGTAAATGTTTGGGAAATATCAAAAATACCTTCCATCACAAATTTCTTTTTTGCAATTGTAAAAAACGATACTAATTTTTGCAAACTTTGAAAATTTTTAAAATTAAACGACTTATCGTAAAACCGTAATATTTTAGTATGATCTAGAAGACTATGGTATCTACCGTTAAAAAATGGGTCATAAAAATCATCGAAAAAATTTTTTTTAATACTTTGTTACAAGAAAACGGCCCGGCCGATCTCTACCAAAAACTAATCAGCACGATTCCCAACCAATATCTTTCGAACGTGGACGAAAAAATTTTCATTTTTCTGCGATTTACAAAGAAACGGCTTGGCAGATCGTCGCACAAAACTGACAAACAATAATTCTAATCCCTATACATCGAATGGTATTTAAATTTTTGAAATCGGTCCAGCCGTTTTTGAGAAATTGTCGATTTACGTCAAAAAATCTGTTCCCACACATACGAGGTCTGTTCAAAAAGTACCCGGAATTTTCGTTTTTTCAAAAAAATATTTATTTATTCGTCTACATTAATGTGGTCCCCTTTAAAGTAGTCCCCCCCCAGATATAATACACTTATGCCAGCGTTTTTTCCAATTTTCGAAGCACCCTTGATATTCACTTTTTGATATGTCCTTGAGCACTCTCAGCGATTCGGCCTTTATTTCTTCAATCGAGGAAAACCGCCGTCCTTTCATGGGTCTCTTCAACTTTGGGAATAGGAAAAAGTCACACGGAGCCATATCTGGTGAATTTTTGCACTTTGCAACACTTTATTTCATTTTTTACGCAAAATTTAATACAAATTCTTTGACTTTTCAATTCTTCCATTGTGAAAATCGCCGAGCTCAGAAAAACACGTCGAACCTTAGCGACTACCACAGACAAAGTAAACAGTGAATATAGCTGAAAATTTCATCATACTTTAGGGGCATGTATACCAACACAATAAAAAAAAAATTTTGACAATCAGACACTCCAGACCCGCGAAATTTAATTATTAGTAATTCCGGGTACTTTTTGAACACACCTCGTACATACTTTTTACTTAAATTTGGTCTCATTCGATTCAGAATGGCTTGCAACGTCGAGAAAACATAAAATTATCGAGTCGGATTTTTTGATGAAAACATAAACTTCTCCTTCGGGAAGTTAATAAACTGCAAAAATTGATTCAACAATTTCAGCAAAAGCAAAAGCTCAGCTTTTCTAGTAGGAGGGTGAGAATTTAGGAATGTATGCATTTGTTTGGTTAAGCATTATAAAAAATATAAAGTATAGGCAATTGGTGCATGAAATTGAGAAAAAGTATTAGTGGTATATTAATAAAGCTTGTTTTTAGATAAAATTTTAAGATTTTCTATCGACTCCTGTGAAAAACATTTACTTATTCAAAATGTATGCAAACTGGATAGTTTTCTGATACCACTCCTATTAAATAGATGTTTGTAGTTGAAAAGTAAAAATTTAGGGTCATATGTACATGTTTCAATCCAAAATAAAGGAAACAAATCTAAATTTTTTAATAATGGTTCATTATCTATATTCTTACTAAACAATTCCTCAAGGACCTCCGAGACGTATCTAACCATGATTATTATTATTATCATTATTAATACCTTTCGGTTTTTTATTCGTTTCCAAATTATTTTCGTCAACGAAATTATTCAAATGGAAATAACATAACAACAACAGCAAAGACAACAATTGACAAAAAGAAAAAAAAAAATGTTAGACGAAGGTTGTCGCGTTCAACGAGCGAAAAATTACAATTCGCTTTTTAAAATTTAATCGACAGTCCAGATCTCTAGATCTTTTTTGGATAATCGCTTAAAGTAAAAGTGTATGTAAATAGTTATATAAAAATATAATATCCAATTATATATATATATATATATATATATATATATAATATATATAATTTTATAATTTTCCCACAGTTCATTAGAAACGCACTTTGTGATTTCTCGTCAAACAATTCCCATATTTAATTCAATGCGAATTATGAATTATAATTAATTTAATGAATGATGCATGATTAATTTATATTTATCTTGTCAATGAGAAAAGAAAGTGATTTTGTTTGCATTTTTTATAAATAAATATATAAAATTCATTGATAACTGAAATAAACTGAAAAGTCTTTTGATACTTGAAAAATAGAATAGTTTGTTTTTTAGAGCATAAATTTTCACACCACAAATTCCCATTCGAATAATTTCATTTCGAGTCGACGAAAATAATTTAAAAATGAATTAAAAACATAGAAAAATTCGATAATAATAATAACAATAATGGTTAATTACACCTCGGTGGATTTTTTTTGGAAATATTAAATACTGCTTTTAAATGATAATTTTTAAAGTTCTAAAGCTCACTTATATACTTTAAATAAATGATTTCAACTTTGCAATTGAGTTCATATAATTCTTATAAATATTCGACAATGGTACCGTATTTATAATAATCTATTTATCATTTCGTTACGGTACGGGAAGTTCCAGCAATTTGCCTCAAAGCAGATTGCCATACACCACTAGTTACTAATTTATGATGAGTCGAAACGTCTGCAAGATTTGTTAATTATTTAGTGCACTGAAAATGAGTAAAATAAAGATCCGAAACGTCGTCGACATTTATTCAAAAATCATCATACTTAACTTTATTTAGATGATACCTAAAAAAAGCTTTTAATTACATAAATTTAATGAAATATTGTTAATATGTATTATTATTTTTTACGACTAAATGATGACTCACATTTATCGTCGAAACGTTTGAATTTTTACGATTGCTTTGAAAGAAAGTTCAGAATTTCCAAAATATTTTAAAATAAAAAAAACAAGTTTTTGTCACAAATTCATAGTTTCTCATTTTTTTCAGAGTAAATTCTTTTTCCAAAATGTTAATCTTTTAAAAAAAATTTTTTTTGGTACGGGAAGTTCCAGCAATTTGTCTTAACTTTTTGATTTTATTAATATTTTTGTAGTTTTGGATTAAAAATTCAAAAAAGTACCCTAGCTAAGCACAGTCTAAGCGCCACTCTGGTACAAATGCTTACCCAAGTGCGTTTAGACTGTTTATGTACTGGAGCTTATGTACTTTTCCAATTTTGTGAGAAAAGTATTGAAAAATGTGAAAATGCCGCCAAGCTGAGCACTGTATAAGTGAAAATGTCGCACAGAATTATTTGCAAATGCGTTTAGACTGTGACTATACGGGAGCACTTTTTCAATTTTGTGTAAATTAAGGCAACTATTTTTTTTTTGAAATTGAATTCGAAATGAAATGACGATTGTTAATATTCTGGAGAAAAATTGATTTATTTATTATTTACATTTGATTTGCTCAGATATAACAAGATAGCAAAAATAATTAACCTTACAGTATTTGTTATTAACGTTTAAAATTTCTCGAATATTTCATTACGGTACGGGTAGTTCCAGCAATTTGCTTCGAAGCACGATGCCATACACCACTAGTGAAATTTCTTAGATTCATTTCCTCAAAATACATCCAACCCTAAATTTTCACTTTCACCCTCCTATCACAAATTTCTATTCAAACCAGTTCCTTTTCATAAGACTCTAATTCTATTGTAGTGATGTATTTATTATTATTTGTTTTCCCAGAAACCGAAAATGGATTTGAGGACCAGGGTTTGTGTCTTCAGCACCTTTTTAGGGAGCTGCCTAAGTCTGGCCCTTTTGGTGTCATCCCTTTCGACCGACAAATGGGCCGAAGCTACGGCCACCAGGCCAACGCCGGTAATAAAATAATTACTCAAATGTAATCAAGTTGTAATATTAATATTTAATATATAATAAAGTAAAGATTTATTGGTCAGTTCTGCAGTAACATAGACGTTGTTATGATAATGCTATGTTATGCTTGTTTATTTATAGTAAAACCAGGATCAGATGTATTACACATAAAACTGTATTTTATAAAAATCCAGTCATCATAACATTCTTTCTTGCTTTGTTAAATAGATAGACATTACCACAGTTTTTAGTACCAAGAAAGAAGGATAAGATAGCGTTGTCATAACAACGCTATGTTATTGTCTGTATTGGCCCATCAATGAAGATATTTTATGAATATACTGTATTATTTTTTCAGGAATCCGAAGGTAGAATAAATCTCGGTTTATTCTTCGGCAAAAAGAATTAAATGTCGCCTACGGTTGGAGGACAGATTATATCCATGGTAAGTGTAAAATAAATAAATATATGTCTTTAAGAATAAATACTTTCATACAAAATTTAATTTTAAATTTAAACATTTGAAAGTTTCAGAGATAATTATTAGAATATTTCTATTACTAAAAATAATTTCAACAAAATGAATCGACACTGTAGGTGTAGATCAAATTCATCTTTTTTTAATTTTTCTTAAGATATAAATTTTGTTTTCCCATCTTTAGAGTCCACATCTCTGAAAGACGCATACAATGTTTTTCTCACTTAAATCAAATTTTCAAGTTTATGAGTGCCATTTCCACCTAAATTAAAAATAATCGTATTTCATCTAGAATTAACTTGGTTTACGAGATCTTGATGAATTCAAGAAAATACTACAACTTTTGTACAAATGATTTTCAAAAAACTCATGATCTCATGAAAAAAAAACATTAAAAAAACAACCAATTTAATATTATAATATCCCTGAAAGAATACGTATAAAAGTATATATATGAGAATTCGAGGTATTTTTCTGACTAATTATTGTTGTTTATTATTATTCCGTTACACAAATATTGATAGAGTTATGATAGTTTAAAGTGTTTAGAGCCCTTTAACCCTTCGCCGTTTCAAAATAAGAGAAGTTACGGTAAAATTCATGATAAAGAAAGTTTTAGCTCATTAAATCACCTTTAAAATAGCATATTACAAGTTTTGATAAAATCCGAATTAAAAGAGTTACAATCCAATTAATGCCGGGGATGGTGAAGGAGTGCAAATTGTTTTCACTTCTGAACTTAAGATTAAAATTAGCAAATCTCCAAAATATCAAGAAAATTGTAAAAAATTCATGCTATTTTCCTCTCCATTCACTGCAATAATTTTGCTGATCGTAGGTTGAATAGAGCACATGTGAACAGGATTTAACAAATTAATTCACTTCAAATATGAACTTAAGTAATAATGAATATTGAATTATTAATAAGAAAAATGTAATTTAGATATTAAAATTACTAAAATCCAGTTAAAATATGGTACGAAATTATAAAAATTGTAGGCAACATTATTGAAGCAATTATTTTGGGTAGAAAAATGCTATATATTAATTATTTCTGAGCTTGTTATACCTCTTAAAAGACTTTAATTTCCAATTCGTATATCTTATGCTATAAATCACAAAGGCAGACGATGATTTTTTGTGTGATAAATTTGGAAAATCAAAGTTTTAGTCGTGAATAAACAAAAAAATCATTCATTTATACATCTACATCTACACAGGTATGACTAAAAATATTGTATAACCCTTGGCATTAAAATAAATTGAGCTATTAGAAATAAATTTGCAGTGTATAATTTTAAATATATAATTTTATTGAACATATTTTAATATTTGTTAAATGGATAATTAAAGTGTTAACTGTGGGAATTGAGAATCATTTTATTGGAAGCAATTCTACATTTAACATCACTCATATATTGGCGTAAAAAGTAATTCGAAAAACAATAATAAATATTTTTAACTGAACGGTGTAAATATTAGTATGGGATACTAAAAAAATGTAAACGCTGGTTCAGGACATTTGTCGGGTCATCTAGTATATATATATATATATATATATATATATATATACATATTTCTACATATAATAGTAATATCTATTTCCTGAACAGTTACCGAGTGTTTTATGGAGCGTAAAGATTTCGTTTCGTTTCGTTCGTGCAATTGTTGTTAATCTGCGTTAAATAATCTCTCGCCTCAGCTCTGTTTTAATTATAATTATAATCTGTTTCTAATTAATTCGAAAATTCATCGCAAATCCGTTACGTTTTGGCATATATAACACATTTTATTGTTACATTTGCAATTGGAATTAGAAGAAAATCATACACAAAAGATGGGAAAAGAAATAGTTGGGGAAAGAAATTTATCATCGGTAAAAGTTGTAAAACCCTAATGCCTTTATTAATTATACGACCTTTTATAAGGCAAATTTAAAAAGTACATACAACCTTAAATTTTCACCCTCCTTATCACAAGCCCTTATTTTGTCCCACACATTTTTATAAATGATCAATTATCGTTTTCTTAAAGTAAGCAAATAAATAGTTCTTAAAGCGTTTTCACAATTCTTTTTGACCAACTGGATTATTTTAAAAGTCATTTACACCTAGTTCCTTTACTTTTTTAGTAATTCGAACGATGAGGATGGACCACGAGTTCCTGATTTACTGGTACTGGCTCTCCTGTGTCAGCGGTTTGGCCCTTGGTATATTTTTTGCAGCTGCATCAGGAATTTGTGCAGTCGTCATCAGTGCAGGAAGAAGGGCCAAGAGGCTGAGGAGTCTTTATGTCACCAACGGAATCACTGGTAAGTAAAAAATCTGATAAATAGTCTCTGAAAATAATAATGGATAGTGCTAAACTCCAACTCGATTCAGGTAAGAAGTGGTCATTGCCAATTGAAAACATATTTTTTATCTAGCGAAAATAGACATAACGCTACTGCACGATATCAAGTTGTCCAGAGCGGGGTTTGAACTAACTACCCTATCCTCAAAAGACAGTGCGCTTAATCGTTACGCCATGGTACACCTATTTATACCGATTTTTTACACACACTCCTAAACTTTAAATTTGATTTACATATCAACTAGTGGTGTATGGCATCGTGCCTTGAGGCAAATTGCTCAAACTTACCGTACCGTAATGAAATGTTCGAGAAATTTTAAACGTTTTCAATTATATTATTACAACAAATACTGTAACCTTCATTATTTTTGCATTATCTTGTTTGTTATATCTGAGCAAATCATAAATCAATAATAAATCATAAATCAATTTATCTCCAGAACATTAGCAATCGTTAGTCATTTCGAATTCAATTTCAAAAAAAATAGTTGCTTGATAATTTACACAAAATTGAAAATGTGCTCCGGTATAGTCACAGTCTAAACGCATTTGCAAATAATTCCGTGCGACATTTTCACTTATACTGTGCTAGCATTTATAAAAACTAAAATGATTGTTGTTACATTGAGGAGGCTACATTATCTCGTTTTATATTTTTGAACCGGTTCGATTTTTATTTATTTGTTTATAACTTCTAAACAAATTGTCCGATTGTTTTGCAATATTTAACAAATTTATAGCCAATTAAATAATCTACAATTTTTATTAATAACAACATTTTGTATCTCTTATCCTTTTACCCAAAATTTGCAATTAAACAGGTCGTTGTTAAATTTTGGGGTGTGCATCAGTATATCTTGCTTCATACTTTTAGACCGGCTCGATTTTTATTTAATTATTTATAACTTCAAAACGAAATGTCCCACCATTTTGCAATATTCAGCAAATTTATAGCAAATTAAATTATCTACAATTTTTATTAATAACAAAAATTGGTATCTCTTGTCCTTTTATCAAAAATTTACATTTAAAAAGGTAGTTGCTAAATTTTGGAGGTTACATCGTACTCATGTATCTTACTCTGTCAGGTAGTCGCGCTCTTTTTCGCACTAGTGTTTTATATATCTCTCTCTCATTTTCTCACTATAGACTGTTGTCTCTTTTACGTTTAATCAAAACAGACTATATCACTTCGCGACTTAAGAAGTTTTACTTCAAAAATAAAATTCTATTTTACTAATTTATACATCGCCAACTTAAGAAGTTGAATTCAAATGAAAATCATAAATCAATCAATTTGTCTCCAGAACATTAACAATCGTCATTTCATTTCGAATTAAATTTCAAAAAAAAAATAGTTGCCAAATTTACACAAAATTGAAAAAAGTACTCCTGCACAGTCTAAACGCATTTGCAAATAATTCTGTGCGACATTTTCACTTGTACTGTGCTTGGCTTGGCGGCATTTTCACATTTTTCAATAGTTTTTTGTTTTCACAAAATTGGAAAAGTGCTCCAGTACATAAACAGTCGCTTAGACTGTACTTAGCCTGGGTAATTTTTTGAATTTATAATCCAAAATTACAAAAATATTTGTTGAGCAGGTAAAGAAGAGATTCTACTGACGAGCTAGAAAATTAAGAAAGGACACCATTAACGAGAAAATTCAGACAGTTTTATTATAACAGAAACTCTACTGATGAGCAAATTCGGTCATTTTTTTTAAAAAAAAAGAACTTTACTGGCGAAATAAATTCAGACATTTCTTTTAAAAAAAATATCACTGACGGGTAGGTCCAAATAATACAAGAGGGACTCTACTGACGAGCAAATTCAAACTTTTTATAGTGATTTAAACATTAAAAAAAGGATACTACTGACGAGCAAATTTATATATTTTTTTTTTTAAAAAAAAACTTTACTGACGAACAAATCTAGACCCCTTTGTAGAAAAGAAAAGATGTCTATGGTCGCGAAAATTCATAAAAATAGAGTAAAAATATTGTTTATATTGTTTTTTTTAACATTTTTTAATAGTTTTCACAAAATTGGTAAAGTGCTCCAGTCCATAAACAGTCTAAACGCACTTGGGTAAACATTTGTACCAGAGTGGCGCTTAGACTGTGCTTAGCCTGGGTAATTTTTAGAATTTTTAATCCAAAATTACAAAAACATTTTTTGAAAAAAAAATTAAAAACAAAATTTTTTTTTCTAAAAGCAATTATTTTGTTGAAACAAGCAGAAAGTTCTTTGAATCATTTAATTCGAACGCTTAGTTCTCTCAGAAACTGCAATTTTTTTAACATTTAGCTCTGTATATCCGAAGCCGCTGAGCCTACCTTTGCCAAAAACTAATAACCACTTTTACCCGTCATTACGAACTGAATGTTTTTTGGATAATACGAATAGGATGATCCGTTCTCTCAAAAATTTGTATTTTTTGCACTCTTTGCTCCGTATCTCCGTAACGGCTGGACCTGCCTCTGCCAAAAACTAATCAGCACATCTCCCTATCAATAGAAATAGATTTTTTTTCCCTGCACATTCATTTAGTTTCTGAGGTATGCCCCTTAAAAATGTTCAGAAACCTTCAAAACGTCGAGAAATGCAAAAATTTTCATTTTCAACAATTTTGTTATGATAACATTCTCCCTTGCTTGTTTATATGTAAAATAAGCCTGATCGCACGACAAATAGATAGACATTTTCATAATTTTCCCTGCCGTTGCCATGACAACGCTATCTTATGAGCTCTGTTACGGCAGAATTGCCCATTAATTACTTTTTTTAACTTTTTCAGTTCTCGGCCAGTGCATATCAATCGGAAGTTGGCTTGCACAATTCTTCTTGTGTCTGAGGTACAACATGTTAACACAAGACGATAAGAAAAATGCTTGGACGAGCGACGGACAAGCCCAACTTGGCAGCTCTTTTTGGTAAGATAGAAAATCTAAGGGTTCAATTTTCGGATAAAATAGAAATGTCATTATGTTATTCATAGGGTCTATATCCCTATGAATTGGTAGAGACGAACTGTCAACAAGCTATGTATTTGCTGTGCGATCAGACATGAAATCTAACCTTCAAAATGCACAAATGCAAAATATCAATTTTATCGTAAGTGGAATTTCTTGATGACACATACGTGATGTTAGGTTTTTACATATCATTTTGACTAGTTATTGGTAATAGTTACTACCAATTCATACGAAGATAGACCCGTAACATAGCATTACCATAACATACCCATTCTATTCGAGAACTGGTCCCTTCATAATGAACAAAAACAGTCATACTGACCTAATTCAATGAAATAATGTTCATGCCGATTAAAAATGAAAATGTTTAGTAAACTGCTGTACCGGTTTTCTTTAATCAATTTACACTTCCAATATGATTTTATTGCGAAAATTGTCAATTTTTAACAGTCACGAGGTTTATAATTAAAAATAAAATTTATCTGTGTCAAAAATCAGATATTTTCAGCCAATTTAATTCAAGCCAAATTTTAGACAAACCCGAAGAAGACATAAATGATATATGTATAGAACAACAAAATGAATATTGTAGAGAGTGCAATTAAAGACAATAAACAACTAATTAAAGATGAGGTGTGTTAATAGAGACAAACGAAATTCGCTAGAAAAAATTTACACCTCAAAAACAATCAATAAAATATAACATTGAAGTAAAACTTCTAAGTTCGTTTAATACAAATTCATAAAAATGGTATATTTTATGGACAAACAACAAAGTTAATTTCAGTATTTGGATTCTATTCAAAAAGACCTTTCGAACGATACCCCATATGCCATATAACATAATTTGACATTTTTGAAGTAAAACTTCTTTAAGCTTGTTTACTACAAATTAGTAAAAAGTGTATATTTTATAGACAAACCACAAAGTTAATTTCAGTATTCGGATTCTATTCAAAAAGCCCTTTCAAACGATACCTCATATGCCATATAAAATAATTTGACATTTTTTAAGTAAAACTTCTTTAAGCTCGTTTACTACAAATTCATAAAAATTGTATATTTCATGGACAAACCACAAAGTTAATTTTAGTATTCGGATTTTTTTCAAAAATACCTTTCAAACAATACCCCACATGCCATAAAAAATAATTTGACATTTTTTAAGTAAAACTTCTTTAAGCTCGTTTACTTCAAATTTATTAAAACTGTATATTTTGTGAACAAACCACATAGTTAACTTCTATATTAGGATTCTATTCAAAAATACCTTTCAAACGATACCCTATATGCCATATAAAATAATTTGACATTTTTTAAGTAAAACTTCTTTAAGCTCGTTTACTACAAATTCATAAAAATTGTATATTTCATGGACAAACCACAAAGTTAATTTCAGTATTCGGATTTTTTTCAAAAATACCTTTCAAACGATACCCTATATGCCATATAAAATAATTTGACATTTTGAAGTAAAACTTCTTTAGACCCCTCTGCTACAAATTCGTAAAAAGTGTATATTTTGTGGATAAATCACATAGTTAATTTTAATATTCGCTGGAAAAATATTACACCTAAAATATCAACAAATTTGAATATTCTAATATTTTTTGCAATGCAATTTGTAGCTTTTATTACAATATAGTCATTTTTTTCGTTTTCTACTCGTCGAGTCCTTTTAAACGATACCCAACATGCCATAAAAATACTATCCTAAATTTTTGAAGTAAAACTTCTTTAGACTCATCCGCTACAAATTAATAAGAATGTATATTTTGTGAACAAACCGTACAGTTGATTTCTGTATTCATATAATATTATATGCAAAAAGATCTTTCAAACGATACCCCACATGCCAAAAAAACACTATCAAAAATTTTTGAAGTAAAACTGCTTTAGACTTGTGCTAAAAATTGGTAAATAATCTATATTTTGTGGGCACAAATAGCATGAAAAAGTTTTATACCTCAATTATTGAAAATTATCAATGAATTTTAGCATTTTAACATTTTAAGCAATGAAATATGGTTATGAATATAATATTTTTTTACAATATATTAATTTTTTTGCAAAAATCGTCTTCTACTCGTCGAGACCTTTTAAACGATACCCAACATGCCTTAAAAATACAATCTACTTGTAATTGAAGTAAAACTTCTTTAAACACCTATGCTACAAAGTCGTAAAAAGCGTATATTTCGTGGACTACGTAGTTTATTTCAGTATTCGGATTCTATTCTGAAAGACCTTTCATACGATACCCAACATGCTATATAAGATACTATCTAAAATTTTTGAAGTAAAACTTCTTTAGACTTCTCAGCTACAAATTCGTAAAAGCGTATATTTTGTGAACAAACCACGTAGTTTATTTTAGTATTCGGATTCTATTCGAGAAGACCTTTCAAACGATACCCAACATGCGATAAAAAATAATCTGAAATTTTTGAAGTAAAACTTCTTTAATCTCGCTTAGTACAAATGCATTAAAAGATAATTATGTTGACATAAATAGCATGGAATGACAAAAAAATTATGTATATTGTATGAGAGAGACAAATAGTGACATATAGAGATGAATATTGTAGAGAAAGTGTAATTAGAGACTATAAACGAGTTTTTACTAGTT